CCGTTCAGAACGGGTAGCGACTCCGTTGCTGACTGGTATAATCGTCATCGTTCCGTCGGTCTTCGTCTGCTGTTGCCGTGCTGCTACAGCTCCGGCTGAGACGGCGAGGAGTATGTTCAGATCGCCGATTTTTCGCAGTCTGTCTCAGTCCTTAGTCCTCCAACAGCCTGAGCGGCTCGTGGTAACCCCGATGACGACCGAGCCGGTATGATTTTCGATGGCGTCTCGTCAATACCATGAGTGACAGACGGCGAACTTTTACGGAGACTTCGCCACAGTCTCCAACCCTTCTCCTTTCTCAACCAGACTTGGGACGGGCATCGGCGGAGCTCACAACAGCATTCGAACTCATTTTTTCCTAGCGTTCAAGTTTTCAAGTCTACTAACTTATGATGACCACCTAGAGGACAACAGCTTCATATAACTGAATTTTTGCATTTGCATGAACCCTATTTCCTTTCTACATCAGTCTGTTCATTGCTTTAACAGTTACTTTTACCGATCTGCCGATATCAAATACGCATTATTCATTAAATGAGATTAAACTTTTGAAATACACGAACTGCTAGGTATATGCTACATATTCCCACAGGGATCTAAATATCTTTCTTTTTTTGTCATACAGGCTGGTTTCTTTATATACTAACATCTGTCCATTTTTGAGTAGCATTTCCTCGTTAGCATTATTTGTCAATGCTATGCAATTTGCAATACACTTCAAAACAGCAGCAAAAATCTTTGGGTGGTATTGTTTAAGAAGAATTTTAAACTTTAAAACTAATTACCAGAAAGGGACTGCAAAGCTCTACAAGTCAACACTAAGCCCAGTGGACAGCCCAGAAGAAACAATCGATGTACGACAAAGTTCAGATGTGATGAACTGATCGACGACTTTCGGCTGGCAATCGATGGCGACTCGTTTTCGACTTTGAGGTGATCGCCGTTAACGGAAGATACAACGTTTGGCTCACTCTCATCACTGTCGATCGGTACGTCTTTCAGACTCGAATGGAAAACCAACCCCTTTGCCAGGGCTACGTCTGAGGTCTAAACCAACAGATTATCAGTAAATCGTTTAAATAATACGGCAGTTGCTAATACCGTAAGCTCTCAGAACAAAGCATAA